CTGCCGGGCGCCCCCGCCAATCACACACGCACACACACACTCATGACGCCGAGAGCCCGAGGAGGCTGCCGAGAGGCAGGGACTCATCCATCCGTCGACCCGTAGAACGAGAACGCATGATAAGGATGCAGGGGCCTTGGAAGGCCATTTCGATGCTTTCCGAGCGGGGCGCGGCCAACGGAAGCGGGCATGGATGGACCGAGGAGCCATTATGCAAAGGTGCCCTTGGGAAGGTTGCCCATCCTTACCATGCGGGTTGACTGCACCCAGACCTCCGACGTCGTGATTTTGCGCAACGTCGAACCCCAGAGGTCTCGACCCATTCCCAGGGACCGGTTTTTCATCCAGAGTCGTTCTTGGACGGTCCCTGGGCCCAGCGAAGGCCTCTAGAGGCCGAGAACAGCTAAACGGCGTCGTCTCGCTTTCTTCGATACGCCGGATGTCTGGGGAACCACCGCCCGCGGGATCGATTTCGTGGACCTCGGCAGGCGGTGGCTCTGGATATGTGTGGCCCCCCCCCCGCCTGCCGAGGCCACCGAAGATCGATCCCGCAGGCGGTGGTCATGGGCACACGTCGTGCATGTCTAATCGCGGTCATTTCCAATTGTGCTCGTTTCGAATTGTTCCTGGCCCCCCAGTGGCCAGGAAGAGGCCCAGGGTGGAACAATTAGGAATGAAAGGATTTTGGCCCCCGAAACATTCAAGAACTCTCGAATAATTAGAGACATGAAACATGTGTAGCGCCCCGCCGCGGAGCTGCGCCCAGGAACGTTTGCGCAGCGTGTCGCGGCGGCGGCCCCTGCGACACGCCGCAGCCTGCCAGCTGAGGCAGAGGGCAGAAAATCCAGCCCGAGAATAACCACCCCGACGCGCGACGCCGTTCAGCAAATGCGCCCCAAGAAGGAATCAAGCAGGGCGGGGCCGTTCAGCAAACGCCAGGGCCGTTCAGTAAACGCCCATTGTCTGGTCCGGGTGGTTCTTCCTCCCTTGATGATAGCATGTCGCTCTTTTGGAGTCCCGAAACCGTGCGGTGACAGACCGTGCGGTGACCTCGGAACCCCAATAGACCTCACCGCACGGTCCGTCACCCCACGTTCTTGGGACCCTGGAGGCCCCTGTCGCCCGAGACGTCCTCGGAGAGGGACTCGAGTCCCGAAACCGCGCGGTGACCCCGGATCCCCACCGACTCACCGCACGGTGTGGTCACCACCCTGTTTGGGGGCCCCCGAGCTCTGCTCCGTGAGACAGGAGGCCGGGAGAGATCGAAGCACTGATTCTCGGGTGGACGCGCTCAGCGTGGCGTGCCGAAGCGTGACGGGCCAGACCCAGCGGCGCGACAAGCTGTGCACACGCCCCTGACTCCTGACCGCACGCTGGGCCGGGGATGAATCTGGAATCTCTCAGAACTGGCGAGCCTGGAGAAGAACCAGCCATGATTATGCGTGAGATCTGTCATTCAGCAACGACGCGCAACGGCCAAGCAACAAACACGAAATACGATAACAGCAACGAGGCAACAGGAACGATGTCGAGCGCCGTGTCATGATTCGGACAATCCTCGTGGAATGCAGTCCTGGACGCGCAATAGTTTATGGAGGGGTCGGCAGATGTGGCGTAAGCCTATAGAATCTCCCAGAACAGGCGAGCCTGGCGAATACATCGAGCGCCGCGGCCGTTTCAGACCGATCGAGCGCTCTGAGAGCAATCCGGAACGCCCTGGAGCGTCTCCAGGCAATGCCCAGGGGTCGGGGGCGCGCAAACATGGATTAGCGATCCAGGATTTGGCGCGCGGTCGCCAAAAAATCCATGGATCGGGGGAGGCGCCCTCCCCAAAATGCGGCCAGCGCCGCCTCGTTCGGCGGCGGAATTCCGCGATTTCCCGTGGAAACGGGACCCGTCGCTAATTCACGCTCCCTTGATCCATGTTTGCGACCGCCTGAAAGGGGGCCTCCTCGTCGAGGGAACGGCCTGAGCCCCCCCAGACCTCCCCGCCACCCGGACCCCCAAGGACGTCCAGAAACGTCCCAAAGACTCATCGATCCTGCCTCCCCCTCGATCTTCGATTTCCAGGAGGACATGCCGAACCCAGTGATTACAGCCGTGACTTGCCGAACGACGGTCCGAACAAGCGATTGGATATGCCGAACGCAGGAATCACAGCGATCAGCAGAACAAGCGATTCACGAACACGAGTGCCGAGCAGCGCCGAACACGTGATCAGAGCATCCTTAGCTCGACTTCCAAGAGGGCGCGGTGACCCCCCCTACGGCCGACCCGTCTGCGCCGGGTGCGTGCCGCGACGCCCTCCGCGCGATGGCGTGCGACACCGCGCGGATCGTTCCATCCTCGAGCGACCGCCGCTGGCGTGAAAAAGCGCCCACCAGGCGTCAAGGCAAGCGCAGGCTTGCCCTGGGCAAGTCTGGGCGGCGCGGTGCGGTCTGGCGGCGTGGAAGCAAAACGTCGTTCATGGGCGTTTTAAAAACAAAACGTTTCGTAAAAATGAAAACGGTGTGAAAAATCAGAAGGACAACGTTCTGCTCGCATCCTGCTTGCCCAGGACCCCCGCGTGCCCCCCCCCCCACCGAGGTCAGCGTTGACAGCGGGGCTGCCTCGGCGGTGCAAGCTTGGGGGCGTTTCTTTGCTTGCGCCGCTGCTTTGCACCCCGACCGCGGCCGCGAACGCCACGCATCGAGGGATGGGGGGGCCCGGGGGCGGGCCCTTGGAAGCGTCGTTCCTGGACGGGCGCGCTTTTCACGCCAATCGCTGACTACCTACCAGACCACCCCAACCCAGCCCGACGACCCGAATTTCGGGTGGGTGGGGGGGGGGCAAAGGGTTCCACACGTGTTCTCTCGATGTTTCCCGACCCCCCCCCCCCCACTGGAAATCGGGGGAAATCGAGGGTTAATCGAACAACAGATGCTACTGCCACGATGTTTTCCGAATTTTCCGGTGGTATTCCTAAGGAATGTCGCTGTGCATGCTCATCCCCGTGTTCTGAATCAGGACCGGCCTTTGGGCCGATCGGGCGTTGCGTTGCGGGTTGGGTTGGGGTGGTCTGGTGGGTGGAGCGCCATGAGCGAATCGCGGCGTCGGGGGTCCGGGCCCTGGCCGTGCTCGAAGAGGGGGGGCGCTGGGCCCGCCCCTCCCGGGCGGCGGCGGAGCAGGCGAGGGCCAACCCCTCACGGGCGATGGCAGAGGCCGCTGCGAGCCCCTGCCAGAGAGCGGCGGCACCTGCCATCGCCCGTGAGGGGCGCTTGCCAATATAAAGGGGCCCCAGGACACACAGGTAAATACACACAAATAGAACCATTCCCCTTATTTTCCCATATTTTTAGGGTTTTTGTCTTCCCCCCCAATTCCAATATTTTCCCATATTTTCCTGGGAGTGGACGGTGAATTGTGTCTGTGTGTTTTTTCCCCCCCTGACAATAGCGCTTTTCACGCCACTAGCGGGATCGCGGCTTGCCCGATCGCCCGGATCGTTCGACATCGGCCGGCCGGCTCTGGGGCACTGGGGGCGTCCAGCCTTGAGCGCCCGCGCTGGCGTCATCGCTCGGCGGCGAGCGAGGGGGGGGAGGGGAGGGGGGAGGAGAGGGCCTGCTCAGAACGAGGGGGAGGAGAGGGGAGAAGGAGAAGGCCTTCTCAGAAGGCGGCGGGGCTCCTCAGAAGCCCTCGCGCCCCCTGGGAAGTTTTCTGCGTCCTCGGGGCAGGCTCGGGGCACTTCTCCAAAGGCTGGAGGCCCTCCGAGCCTTCGGAGAAGGCCCGCCCCTTCTCACTTCCCCCGGGGCTCGCCGCCGAACCGCGGCGCTATCACGACACGAACCTGCCGTACACCCCCGGTCAATATTCAGAAAACCATGAGATAAGAAATTGTAGGGCTGAACTGGGGAGCGGAAAATAAGAAAGTAGGGGCTAAATTCCGGGGTAACTTCTTAGCCGGCTGGCGCTCTCAACGCCGTGGCGCGTTCGTTGGTGTTTGCTCATGTGCCATTGCGCGTGGCAACGCAGGGCGCGCGGACGCAAAGCGGCGACGCAAAGAGGCGTCCTGCGGGCCCACTTGCCCGCCCCAAACCCTCGCCATGACCGCACACGTCATACCCTTTGTTCCCCAGGTGTCCGGCCCCCAGCGGAATGCTTTCGAGCTCCACGACTGCCAAGAAGTACGAAAAGCCAGTCGTGCGGAGGGGGTCGGGACTTCAAGGGGCCGCGCGCTGCAAAAATCATGGCGGCGGCCATTCACGACCCCGGTCTGGGCACCCAGTCACACCCGAATCGGGTCCAGGCTCCGCGTTTGTCCCTGTCCCCATGCCTTCCTTCTTATCGGGGGAGGAGACGGCAAGAAAAAGAGACAAAGAGCGCGAGAGAGAGAGAGAAGGAGCCAGGGCAAGAAAGAGGAAGAGACGGGAAGGAATATGGGTACCAGTATGAGGAGGTACCTTGGGGAACGAGGAACGGGGTGTGCTCCCCTCCTCTCCTCCCCTCCCCCTGCTGTCGTCGTGCTCATCTCCCTCCTCTTCCTTCCTCCCTCCTCCTTCCTCGTCCTCTTCCTCCTGCAACCGTTTCGCGGATGCGGGCGGGTGGTTCTCAAACTGTGGCTCTCGCCTTAGCGCCGCGCAGATCCGTCTCCAAAGCTGAAAGCAGCTTGAAGGATGGAGGGCACGTCGTGTTCAGAATGTGGTTCTCGCCTGAGCGCCGCTCACAGTCGTTTTGAAACATTTCCAGCAGACTCAACGACGGAAGGCGGTTCCTGTTCAACATGTCGCTTTCGCCTCAGCGCAGCGCACATTCGCATTCAAAGTTTGCAGCAGTCTTACGGATTCGATGGATAACGGCCCAGGAATGGTATTCTGGCAGATCCCGGATTTCCAGGACGCAACGGTCACGTTGATTTGCGGTGTGAAAAACTCCAGGAACGGTTTGCCAATGCGAAACAGTCACGTTGATCCGCGGCGTTGAAGTCCCAAGAACTGTTTGGACACGAGTGAGGATTGTCGGAC